GATTGATAATAGACTCGTATGGGAGCATAAACCAGTGGCCTGAACATCAGCTAACTCCGCATATCATTATATGGGCCTTACCGCTTTCAAAGCGCCCTACGATTCTGAGATAGCGGTAACGTAATGGATAGCGAAGAGAGATCGCTTAGTTTCCCAGAAACAAATAAAATTTCATCGCATCCCGGCAACGGAGGGGGGCATTATGCACTTTTGCTGCTTCGTATTGTCGTGCTCGTTGCTGTACAAGAGATGAGAGGTAATCTTTTCAAGAACCAACAAGTGGTTTCCCCGAACTTTGACTGGCGTCACTTCGAGGCTTCACCAGACTTCACAGACCTCTACCTGACGGCTCGAGCCAGGACAATGGAAGTAGCAGAGGTGCTAAATGCCTTCCCCATTTTGGTGAACTGCGATAGTTGTTATTCGTGTTAGTTCTTCTGTGCCTTTACGAGGCTGGTAGGTGGAACTTTATTGAATCGGCCTAACGTTTCGACCCGTTTCGTCGTCTTCGGAGGCCTAAAAGTGGTTCGAAGTTCCGATTTATGGTCTAATCCACCAAGCGCCTCATCTTCTCTAGCGGTTCCGACGTTCTGTCGGGAACCTCGAAGAGAAGTCCAAGCAGTCCAGAGAACAAACTCGAAAGAACTGCGATAGTGTTTTCATGAAACGTGACGGTGTAATTCGGGTCATCATCTACCCAAGAGACGCCTTCCTGTATTTCAGGGAATTAACGGCGCTAATGAGGAGACATCAAGAGATGATAGAACATCTATCGTGGAAGTGAATCAGAGAGAAGGAGTTGATGAATATCTGTTTGAAGGTGACATCCTTCTCACTAAGTAAGTTTCCGCCTTCAAATGCTCCTTATCCTAATTTGAAAGGTTCGCGATGTAAGCGAAGCATGAATCTTTCTTCGAGATTGCATCAGTGTCTCAGAAGAGTTTCGCTGGTTCATGCTGAAATGTCTCTGTGATTCCAATACGTCCTTATCCTTGAATGAAGCTTTCAGTACTAGGTCTAAAGAACTCAAGGCTGCTTGTGAGCATCATGAAGGTTTGCGCATCATGAAGGTGATTCCAATACGTCCTTATCCTTGAACGAAGCTTTCAGTACTAAATCTAAAGAACTCAAAGACTGCTTGTGAGCATCATGAAGGTTTGCGCTTTCGCAACAGTGGCCAGAGAACAGATAGCAATTTAGTTGAAGTGGTTCACTTCTGTTGGTCGTTTGTCGCAATATACGTAGAAACCCACACTTTCGAACTCTAACCATCACACGAATGCTGAGTTATGGGCAGAGGCCTTGACCCCAGGCGGCACTTGAAAATGTGCCTCACGCTTGCGAGGGGGAGACGGGCAAGAGAATCGTAAATTGCCGCTTCGTCGCGCGCGGCAATGGGCGCGACGTTTCCTTAATTTGCACTACCCTTTCGATTGGAGCATCGGATTCATGTAGACAAGGACATGGTGGACACTTATGTCTATTTTTGGTCATACATTGTCTATTCTCAACCAATACCACCTAAAATCGTCGTCATTGGGGGCGCGACGTCGCACGCGACGCCCACTGGCGCGGCGAATTACGATTCTCTTGCCACATACCCCTTACGAGACGAGTGCGGTATCGCGAAGAACACCTAAGAAGGCCCACGGCTCAGCATTGGTGTGACAACTTTGGAGCCCAAGCTACTGCGCCAAAGAGCAGTTATGAATATCAAGAAAACCACTCCGGCTTAATCAGGTAGAGAGACGTCATAATCTCCTAGAATTGTAGCAAAGAACTGAGTGTAATCGAGAACACCACGAAAAGCAGTACTCGACAGAAGCGCCAGATCCCTTATGAGGGCGTTTCTAAATGGGAGAACAACAGAGTTTTCTACTATTTCGACGCAAGTATACGTAAGTTTCTATGAATAGATTGCTGTAACTATTTCACAGTCCACATGGCAACTTTTTAGCAGCAGCTAACCGAAGCTTACATCAGAACGATCTTGAATTACCTCCAAGCTCGTACATGTATTACTTTCGTGGATGATGCCACAGCAACAAATCGTATAAGAGTGTTTGACGGTGCCGGCTGCTATTCAGCACTTGGAATGCAAGGAGGCGAGCAGTCCTTATCATTGTCGCCTGACTGTGTAGTAGTAAGTTTTTGAATGACAACTGCATCGTGTAATATCAGAACAAACGTTATTCGCCTCAAGAGCAGGGCACGCCATCGCGCTGTGATCA